TTTGAAGAATTTAAAAGCAGAGAACTACAAAGAACCAACATTGGATGGAACCAACGGAGGAGCTGGCTGCTGGGCCTGGCAAAAGCAGGAAAGCAGGGAAGTACCCCTGTGCATGGGTACAAGATCCAGAGATACTCTGACCAGATGGAACTAAACAGTGGCTTCTGCCCTTTTTGACTGTGGTGAGATGCAGACAACAACACAAATGTATACCTGTCCTTTGGGTCCTGATCAGTGCACATCTGAGGACCTCGTGACAGTATGACAGAATGCAATTAAGATTGCTAGTTTCTAAGCAAGATCTGTTTAACTTATGCAACTACACAGACCCATTGTAAGACCCCATGGTACGGCAGTGTGCTAACTCTGAATCGTCATCAGATGAGTGGATACTAAACAAGGATCTCCTGTACTTGGGCAAAACTGGCTTTCAGGAGAAGAGATCTATTTTACTCTTCTGAAGATTCAGAATAACAGCTTACTATTTTATATAAAATTATATTATATAATTAATGATTACAGTTGAAAATAAACTTAAAATACATTTTTCCAGGATACCGATTAGGGCATTCCAGACTCTATCAGTAATTTTCATTCTAGTTTATAATTATTATACACATGGGAAAAATATATCACTAAAGCACACCTATCCATTTTTGTTTTTGTTTTTAGGGTTTATAATGATGCTTAAAATCTTTTTTTTTTCTGATAGAAATAGTACACAATTGCAGAAAAACTCTTGGAATTGCATGTAATTTCCCTGTAGTCATATGTTTGTACCTGGTTGCAATATTATTGCAATTAGCAATACTAATAAATACTAATGAAAATTAATAGTGTAAAACAACTATTGTATCTACTATTACTTGCAATTTTGATAACTATATAGTCTGGCACTTAGATCATTACCATGAAAGTTCATCCATGTGTTTATATTCAATAATTCATCATATTCATGCATAATAGAAAAGTGTCTCAATTTGGCTGGAATTAAAACTACTTTCAGGAAAGATTCAAGGAATTCTGTGAGTTTTGGTCCTGTTTTAGGCATGAAAGCCAGCTGGTGATATTGGACCAGTCACTCTTTTTCAGCCCAACCCACCTCACAGGGTTATTGTGAGGAAAACAGGAGGAGGAAAGTATGCTGAATTCGTTTTCTATCTTGAGTTTTTTGTCAAAATAACAAAGGTGGGATATACATTAAAAAAATAAATAAACTGAATAAAATAGATAGCAGTATATGGAAGGCAAAGGAGAGAGTGATAGAAAACCCATTCATAATTTCATTTATTGATTTCAATCACTCAGATAATTATTTGATGGCAGGCTTCTGACTGTATTTTAAAGTTTGTATTCCTAGGCCTTTGTCAAATAGCTAGCTACTCTTTATAGACATACCAGTAAACATAACCAAAAAATACACTGCAAGCTGCTAAATCGTCATAGAAAGTTGACTTTAACCACTCTAGTTTTTACTGGCATTAAAAACAGAAAAATACAGTGTTGTTGATTTAACCTCACAGTAATGTTTGGTTTTTTTCTGTCAATTCTACAACCTTTTGGTTAAGAAAGGAGCCAACAATTATTATTTGGGGGGTGGGGGTGGCGGTAATGTGAGAGATTAAAAATCAGAGGGTGTATGTACCTTGTTTAATTTCCTCCCTTCTTTTCTGACCACTAGAACACTTTAAGTAAATTTTGTGGTAAAGCAAAGACCACGAGCACAGAGGGTGTCTGAGACAGTCATAGTGCCTGAATGTACTTTTTTGTGGTACCGGCAACATTGTTTTGATTAAAGGTTGGCCTATGGCTGCAGTTTGTACACTTTTATTTTCCTTTCCCCCCAAAACTGTAACCGAATTAAATAATGCAGAGGCAACTGATATTACTTATATATGTTTAAAAGGTTTTATACTGTAAGTCCAGTTTCATTTTGAAGTGTAATTATAGATCTTCATTGCTTCATGACCCATGCACAATTTAGTAGATGAAATATTTTAGGCTTCTAAATTTTCATGGGAAAGGAAGGTTTACAAAATTTATACTCTGTCTAGAGCCTGTTCCCCAATCTCTTATAAGATATATGAAAAGACTGAGGCAGCCAGAATCTTCTGCAGGGGAATGTGAGAAGTAAAGTAAGTGACAATGCTGGCTTTTGTTCAACAACTGTTAATACACTTTGTGACTCCTTCAAAATCCAGTTTGGAAAGTCAACATTTCAGCAGCTTTTGGAGATTTAGCAATGGCTTCTCCCCAGACCACAGAAAGCTTCTTCACAGATCACAGAATGTTCCCAGATCACAGCTCATGAAAACCAAATACCAGTACAGGTAGTCCTCGACTTATGACCTTATGGAGCCTGCCCAATTGTGACAGCCATAAAGTGGGTCATCATGTGACCAACCTGATTTTATGACCCTTTTGAGGTGGTCATTAAACAAACTCTATTTGCTATGGAGTGTTTTTGCCAAAAACTGGAATTAAACACTGTTTTTTGCGCCCCCCGCCCCCCCCCCAAAATCCCACCACATTGCAAATTGCAGTTATGTGACAGTGGGATACTGCAAATGGCAGTAAATGTAGACCGACTATCCAAAATCCGGTCATGTGATTGTGGAGGGGTGGGGCTGGCCATCAGAACTTTGGAACCAGGTTGTAAGTATCCTTGGGGTGGTTTGTCATAACTCTGAACAGATGCCAAGTCAAGGTCTGGCTGTATCTCAGGTGGGATACCACATTTCCTAGGAGACAAACTCAAGATACATCAAAACTATACAAGACTGAGAAATTGTGAAGGTGCCCATTTCCAAATATAATGTATCTGCCTTATTTTATACAAGAGGGGAGATTCTGTTTTATACATGATATAAGAGAAGCTGAATATTTCACCCCTTTTTCTCCTCTGAATTCCCTGCTGGATGTGTAAAAAAAATGTTTGGCATAATGGTACCCAAATAGAAAATGTGTAGCCCCTATGTTCAGATCATTCTTTTTTCTACTAAAAAGAGGATAACTTATAGGCTACCTTACATATGAACTGAGAAACCAGGTCCAGTTCAAGCTTCCAAAACCTTGTTAAAGTCAAGGAGAGCTCCAATACTTGGCAAAACCCCTCAAATTATGTCTATCCAAGACTTTTTCTAGGCAGCATGTATACAGTTCTGTGTGTTGTTCATTAAAACCATTGGGAAGCTTTTACTAAAAGAAATTGGCTCTTTACTCAGCAAAGGGACAGCAAGGCAACCAAAACTTAAGGCTCCAAGCACAACTGTAGATGTTGCGTGCAAACATTATACCAGAAAATGTCCTCTGATTTATGTTTGATGGATTCGGTAGTTCAATTTCCAGCTGACATTGAAAAGGGCAGGGGAAAATATTCCTATTTTTATTTCTGAGATCAATGTTTAAAAAAATGATTGCAGAGTCTTAAAAGAGAATTGGAACAAAATCTTCAAGTTACATTTTCAAGTAATTTCACTGCCTGAAACAGTAATGATATTAATAAGTACCCAATGTTCGTTAATTTCTTCCAGTGATTTTGCACACTATTGGCAAAGAAAACGGAAAGATGGAAAGGTTTGCTTTTAATGAGTAAATGCACTAGTCTAAAAATAGTAAAAATGTAAAGACATGGGAGGAGACTGAAATATGGCGAAGGAGGAAGAGAAAACTGATGTATTAAAATGATTTCATGCAACGTAAGTAACTACATGATCGAACTGAGTAAGTGAACCAGTATCTACAAAGATAAGTACATTTAGCAGTTTCCTCAAACTCGACTCTTCCAGAAATGTCAAATGATGACTTTCATCATCCCCAATCACCATGACAACTGGCCATGCAGCTGTTTATGAGGGAGTATATCTTAATTGCCCTGGGGAAGGCTACTACAACATCTTCAGCTATTTAATCATTGATATAACCATTTTATTATATCCTGTATCTGAATAAATCGTTAATTTTTAAGAAAAGACTCCAGATGTTTGGATACCTCAGCCGCAATGAGAAGAACAACAAAAGCTTCAGAACTTTTCAAAGACCATTGTAACTTCAAACAGTCACTAAGCAAATGGTTCTAAGTTGAGGACTATCTGTATTAAATTTGGATGAGTTTTACTCAGCAGCAACCCAAGAGTATCATTATGGCTCCTATTTGCACCTTGCTTCCCTCCACCGTCAGAACCTGAGGCTGCACATTTTGCAGAGCTTTTGCCACTCAGTCCTGAGCTTCCTCTAAATCTGAGGTTTCTATCAGACCATTACACTTCCCCTCACCGCCCCTTGTCAGATGGGTGGGACGGGTGGCACTTGTGACATCTGAAGGGAAATTATTTTAAAGCGGACTGTTATAATAGGGCAAGGTAGGCTCTTTAAGAATTCAATTAACTTTCAGGCTCTTTTGCAATCAATCATTCCAGAGCACGTCCTGCCACTCTTCATTCCAGGCGGAGTGTCCGGAGACTGCCCAGATGTTTCAGCCTCCGGTTCTCCTCCGTGGAAAGTTTCCGCCTGGAGGCTGCTGAGCGTAGACATTCTGTTCTCCTGACTCGCCTTAATCTAGAGTCCTGTCAGAGCTGTCACATGAAGAGTGAATCATGGGCCTTACCGAGAGCCCTTGAGCCTGGAGAGGAGCTCAGGGCAGGCAGCTGCATAAACCCGCACCCAAGTGCACAGTTCTCCTCACAGAGAGTTTTACAGCTCAACCTTTGGATAATCCCAGAAGCTGACTGACAGGCCCTGTTTGTTCAATAACAGAAATTTGCCAAAAACAAACTGGCTGTCTTTCAAACTGACACCCTGGCCTGGGCTCTTTAGACTAACCTTCTTCTCCTCATTTTCCCCCCACCTCCCCTCTTCCCCACATTCCATTTTCTTCACTCTAAACAAACCGGAATTTTAAAAGAATGCGGCTGCCTCGCTGGCCTTCATAGAGTTGCGCTGTCCCTCCTCCCTGCTTTTCTTCTTCTCTGTTTCCCAGGATAACATATAATCCTTTGCACCTGCAAATGCTCCACAGACTGCCGACTGCCAAGAATCCACCACGTGTCCTTGCTTCCATGACCAAAGTTCCTGTGTTTAAAGAGAGAGGAGGTGGGTGAACAAAACGTTAGTCTCTGCCTTGCTTGCAGCTTGCTACTTTCCTGTCAGGGTGAGTGGGTGCTGGAGTTTTAACCGGCTATTTTTGTGGCATCTTCAATTATAGAATGAGTGATCTCTTCTACCCACCCCACCCCCACCAAAGGGCCACATGTAAAAGTGGTCGATCTGATGAATGATAGCTTGTTGCAGAGCACTGAGCACTGAAGCTTGTTTGCAGAGAGTTAAATACGTATTTGTTTCAGCCTGGAGAAATGCAGTTTTGCAGATACTGCCCGGATCTTATTTTCTCTTGGGAAGATAAAACATGAACAAAAAAATACCAGCAGTGACTTCCAAGCTGAATACTCATGCCAAACAATATCTTTTCCAAACAACCGCTCCACATTGTACCATACCCAACACTTTGGACTATATTAATAGTCTTAAGATATACTAAGTTGAGCAATCCCAAAGCTAAGCAATCATCACTATTAACAGCAATCTTAATGAGGCAGAAAAATGGCCAGAAAATAGTAACTTGCCCTAGACAACCCGCTAACTCTGTGTTTCTCAACCTTGGCAACTTTAAGACATGTGAACTTCAACTTCCAGAATTCCCCAGCCTAGAGAATTCAGGAAGTTGAACTCCACATGTCTTAAAGTTGCCAAGGTTGACAAACAGTGCTCTAACTATATGGCTAAAGCGTTTAGAATGGTATAGAGTTTTATATATCTAACAGCTGAGCTGGGGATCTGTATTCCCACCTGACCCACATTTTGGGCAGAAACATCTAAACTGAAAGCCAATTTACAGTTTCAAAAATAATAGCAAATTATGTGCACATTCTCCTCCAGTCTTCCCAGAATACTGATTGACAAGCAGTTGTGTCAATTCCTTAAACAGCAACCCAATTCCAGGGCATTTAAAAAAAAAAAAATTCGGAAGAACGCTGGAAAATGAAATTTCAACAGCCGAGTCCTGTATCAGTAGATAGAGCATATCCAAAGCAAGGCTCATCTCACAACCACAAAAACCACAACTATTTCTGGAGAAAGACCAAGATTCAAAAGTTCAAGCTTAGATCAGCTTTCTTTGTGATGCCTTCCAGATTTTTTATTTATTTATTTATTTGATTTGATTTGTCAATTGCTTACAAAATAATAGGTATAAGTATAAACATGAGTAAGAATATAGAAAATAGGTACGATTAAATGGGGACAATAGGACAGGGATGGGAGGCACGATGGTGCACTTATGCACGGCCCTTACAGACCTCTTAGGAATGGGGTGAGGTCAATAGTGGATAGTTTGAGGTTAAAGGACTGGGGGTTTGAGGATGTAACAACAGAGTGAGGTAGTGCATACCAGGCATTGACCACTCTGTTGCTGAAGTCATACTTTCTGCAATCAAGTTTGGAGCAGTTAACATTGAGTTCGTATCTGTTGTGTGCTCTTGTATTGTTGCGGTTGAAGTTGAAGTAGTCATTGACTGGTAGGACATTGTAGCAGATAATTTTGTGTACTACGCTTAAGTCCAACCGTAGGCGGCCTAGTTCAAGATTGTCCAAGCCCAAAATTTCAAGTCTGGTGATATAGAGTATTCTGTTGCGAGCAGAGGAGTGTAGTACTCTTCTTGTGAAATATTTCTAGACTCGTTCAATTGTATTAATGTCTGATATACAATGAGGATTCCAGACAGATGAGCTATATTCGAGTATTGGTCTAGCAAAGGTTTTGTATGCCTTAGTTAGCAATTCAATATTTCCAGAGGAGAAGCTTCGTAAGATTAGATTTATAACTCTTAATGCCTTTTTAGCAATACTGTTACAGTGAGCTCTGGTGCTTAGGTCATTAGATATGAGTACTCCTAGGTCCTTGACAGAGTGAGGGTCATCAATGAAGTCATATCCACCTAGTTGTATTTGGTGTACTAATTTTTTTAACCAATGTGTAGGACAGAGCATTTGTTGGTTTCACCATTCAGACACATAATCAAGGTCACTTTGAAGAACAGTAGCATTGTCGGTGGTGTTGATTAGTTTTACATCATCCGCGAAGAGGATGCAGTTGCTTATAAGGTGATCACAAAGATCATTTATATAGAGTATAAAGAGTGTGGGTTCTAGAACCCTGCCTTGCGGAACACCGCTGTTAACTGGAGCAGGGTTTGATATAGTGCTCTCTATTTTTACTATTTGTTGCCTGTTTGACAGGAATGCAGTAATCCACTTATGAAGGGATCCGGAAATGCCATAAGAGTTTAGTTTTAACAGTAGTTTGTCATGTACCACTGAATCAAAGGCTTTGTAGAAGTCTATGTAAATTGCATCTATTGCTTTACCCTGGTCGAGTAGAGTAGTCCATAAGTATGTGTGAAGTATCTTAGCTGATTTCACCAGCATGGCCAGCTATAAGGAACAGTGGCAGTTTCATCAGAAAACATCTGAGGGTATCAGATTATGAAGAGGTATTACAGATAGCATTATCCCTAACCTAGGTAGATGCTAGCTTCTAAAAAAGCTGAACTGAGAGTCAAGAACCAAGAAAACTGGACAACACCCTTCCGTATAAGAACTCAAAGCAACTTAGATGACCAAGGCCAAAGGGAGAGTGAAAACTGGCCAACAGGAAATAAGATAATCCCCTTACAAAGAGGCCAATTTAATTATGGTGTTTCCACAAGGCAGGGAAAGCCCTACTCTCTGAATCATTTAAAAATAGACCACAGAATGCAGCACTTGAGAGCATACCAGAGGGAATAATTCACCACTGGCACTTGACATAAATGAGCTAACATGTTTCTTTCCATTTCCTTGTTTTACATGGAGAGCCAGCTGAAAATGTGAAAGGAAAAAGAAAAAAAAATCTGTCTGCTAAAGGGGAGGATAAATTTTTATAACAATTACAAAGTCTACAAAGTTTGGTGGAATTTTTAACCTAGAGAATAAGGATGAGTATATATTTTCTTGAGGAATGCATTCTGATGAAGGACTGTCTGTCAGAACTTTAATCCAAAAATGGGTTAAAAGAATGAGTTCTCTCATTCTGTTCTCTCCTCTCTCCTTCCCTCACACACATACTTCCTCTACCAATCCTTCTCTTCCACACATACTTCTCTCTCTCTTTCCATTCTCTTCCCTGCCACAAATTTATCAGTGTGGGATTGAGGGCTTCCACCTGAGATGTGAGCCAATCACATCTCTTATCAGTTCCCTTACCCTCCCTTCCTTTTCTTTCTCCTTTCCATCATCCTTTTCATACTGGTCCCTCCTGCATGTAATTAGGCAGAATGTCATATGTAAATTTGGCAGGGTATTTTATTCATTTATGTTACATATAACGCTGGGAGCTTGGGAAGATATATGTGGATAGAAAGGAATCCCATAATAAGATTATATGGGACTTTTTGAATGTGATTTTAAAAATCCCTTGGAGTCTCTTGCTTAAATTGTTTATTGCAAGAGTCGCTCTGAAAGTGAGATAAAAGATCTCTAAATTAGAAATGTATATAGATAGATAGATAGATAGATAGATAGATAGATAGATAGACAGACAGACAGACAGACAGACAGACAGACAGACAGACAGACAGACGATAGACAGACAAATAGCTCTGCCACTAAGAAAAATAAGGATTACTTTACCTGTGGCATAGTTTTTAGATATTCTGTGTCAAGATGCTGTTTTGTTGTGAACTATATAGCAAATTCTTTATTATGTGTGTTGTAATTACCTTTTCCAAATAATCTCATAAGGTGAATGCTTACGAGGTATCAGATAACATTTTCTGCCCTTTCTGGAAAAAAAAATGATATAAATGCCTGACAGGGGAGATTGATCAAATCTGTTGTCCTTCAGAATTGTTTACAGCTATCACAAGCCAGCCATACTTGAAAGGTTGAGTTAAAATTCTTTTGTAAATATTTCTTTTTAATAATGAAAATCTCAAAAGAGTATCTGTACCTCTCTGATACGCCTATATTCATGGATAGACAGATACAAGAACCACTGTAGTGGTTATTGTCATCAACTGGCATCAAAGAGAACCAGGTTCAAGTCCGCCCTCAACTCAACTCAACAGAAGCTTACTGGGTTCCTTTGGGATGTTCCCTCACTCTCTCACTCAGATCCTCCTACCTCATAGGTCAGCTCTTGCTGGAATAAATACAAGAGACCTCTCCTTGGAAGGCATCTTGAGCTCCTGGAGGAAAGGCAGGAGATACATCTACCAAAGGAACAAAATAAATAACTACATATTGAAATCTCTCCTCTGTGGAATGAAAAAAAAAACCCCAGCAAAAAGCAAGTTGCTGTATAAGAATATTTTTCAACTGTTTATGAAGTTTATGAAGCCTGAATAGATAGACTGCAGCCATCAATTTCTAAGATTTCCTTTATGGAATCAAAACAGAACAAACAAAACCCACAGAAGCACAACATAATTGTGTGGGTCTACTACTTGGGACCTACATTTCAGTAACACGTTTAGAGTGTCCAGGGCACCCAAGTGATTTTCCCACACAAAGAGAGCATACATTGACCATGCACAGCGCAGTGAAGATTTTTCAAACCTGAATATATTATCTTGGGACTCACTCCTAAGAAATCCCCATGATATAATATTCTGCATTGGTTAAGGATAGGCAAGAAAACAGAAAAGATCAGTCGAGAAAAGTTTTTAAAAACTACCATATCTGTGCATACACACATGGCTAGTACAAATTGGCAGTCTTTTTGAAGTGCAAAATTGTTCCTGTCTACATTTTGTTTTCAGATCTGGTTTTAGAGGCAGAAAATCCACAAACTACTCTGCTACATTGCAATAATATACAATGAAGTATGACAAACCACTTGCTGCCTTGTGGGATCCCAAACACTTATGTTCAAAGAAATATGTTGCTTGAGCTAGAATATAAGATACTATATATTGATAATATACCATTCTAATCAATATCAAATACTATTATGTTAAAGTGTCTTTCTGATAGAG